AGCAGCCCGTCCTCATCGATGGCCAATCCAGCCGGCAAGTTCCACTGTTTATTCAACCTATCCTCAGGCCAGGCTCGTTAAAGGGACGACTATCCTTCCCCAACAACCCCTGCTCAGACTAGGTTCATTAATGCAGCGACCACCCCCAAGACGCCAACCCGTTCTCGCATACAAAGATCCAAGCTCCTTAATCCAGCCGCCAAACTCGCTGTTCATGAATGAAAAGCTGTTTACACACGACTCAACTGATTTCGTTCGAACACTTCCGGAACAAGTGCTTCACTGATGAATTTTGTTCGAACCACAATGCTGTAAATGCTTCACCCACGTACTACAAATACAGCCCTTCCTCCAAACAAAGATCCAAAAGTGATTCCATGCACCCGCCAAACCCCCTGTTTATGAATGAAAAGCGGTTTACACACGACTCAACTGCTGACGTTCGAACATATCCGGAACAAGTGCTTCACTGACGAATTTTGTTCGAACCACAACGCTATAAATGCTTCACCCACGTACTACAAATACAAATAATCGCCAACAGAACCTAAACACCTAACCTAACTTAACCAGTGCCTATATATGCACAATATGCAAACATATAACATGTTAATTTATATTAGAGAAAATTCCTATTTTGAATGAACAGCATATTCAAATTGACGAATGCGTCTTTGGGGTCGACCGCTGGATGGAATGAATTTAGTCTGAGGACGGATTGCAGGTAAGGAAGGGAATAGAATTATCAGCCAAAACCGCCAAGACATTTCGACTATACAGCACTGGAAAGGGGTCAGGATAAGGATTTGGGATGTGACGGATGAAAGGAATGATGCCCAACCACTTGGACGGTCTGGGATTGAACGCCGACCTGCATGAAGCCAGACCGTCGCTCTACCGTCCACCCAAATCGGTTATTGTTTAAAAAAAAAATATAACAAATGTGTAAGGTTTTCGTCTTGCGTCATCGCTAGGTCATAAACAAACCCGTGATGATCTGACCTCTGATGTAACCTTTCCACGTCATCAGGTAAAACACGGACCACCGGGTCCAGTGTGTCACCATCGTCGTCCTCGGTGATCTGGACAACGCCAGATCACCGACCACGTCACAATAGTCTTGTATAGAGCCATAAATGCCTTACCTCTCCTCCTGTGACGGTGAGTTACGCGCTCCAACTGAAGATTGTAGTACGACTGACGTGACTCTCTCAAGCCTTATGTATATATAAGGCTTGTGTCGAGTTGCTTAATTATGTAGATAAACCAGGCATATTTTTGTTTTTATAAACATTTAAGTATTTTATAAACATCTACGTTTTTTTAATTCTCAACACAAAGTTCACCAGGTTGGTGACAAACTAAAAACAAAAAATCCGTCCATTACTTTTCTATATTTTTCAAACAGCGGTGGCAACCCCTGTGAGGATTTTCCTAATTGTGATAAAACACGGAGGGACTCCCAGATAGGGTGGTGTTAAATTTGTGTACATATGTACTAGGTTACATGCCTGGGAACCCCAGGTGTGTGTGTGTGTGTGTGTAATTACCTAGTTACAGGATGAGAGCTACGCCGTGGTGTCCCGTCTTCCCAGCACTCTGTTATAACACTTTGAAATTACTGACGGTCTTGGCCTCCACCACCACCTCACCTAATTTGTTCCAACCGTCTACCAGTCTTGTTTACAAAAGTTAATTTTCTTATATTTTTCCGGCTGCTTTGTTTCGTTAGTTTAAATCTATGAACTCTTGTTCTTGAAGTTCCAGGTCTCAGGAATTCTTCCCTATCCATTTTATTCATTCCTGTTACTATTTTGTGCTCAGGTGCACATTCTCTCAGAACCCATGGTGAAACTCCATCTGGACCAACTGCTTTGTTCCAACTTAGCTCCTTGAACATTTTTTCCACTTCGTCTCTAGACACCTCTATGTGTTCTATGCTGTTCTCTGAAATTCTTATTGTGTCTGGTTCCCTGAAGATTTCATTTTGTACAAACACGCTTTGGAACTTTTCGTTTAATGTTTCACACATTTCTTTTTCATGAATCTGTTTCCATTTTTGAACCTCTGAATATTATCCTTTACCAGCAATTATTTGTTTATGAATTTGTAGAATAGGCCTGGTTCTGTTTTGCATTTGTCCACTATCCTTTTTTTCAAAATTTCTTTCTGCCTCTCTCCTTACTGCTGTGTAGCTGTTTCTCGCATCTTTGTATCGCTGGTATGTTTAGGAAGAGGCCAAACCCCATATTGATTCCATTTTTGTGTCTTGGTCTCTGGCCCTCTCGCAATTTCTGTTGAACCAATCCTATTTCCTGGTTCTTCATCTCTGCGTTGGTATAATTTTTTTGTGTGCCTTTCATCATATATTTCACAAAACGTGACATACATCTCATTTATTTCCTTGCCTAGCAACAAGTCTGTACAATTATACTCATTAAAAAAAAATCTAAGGTCCCCATAATGTTCTCTCAACCTGTGAGTGAGTCTCTGTCTGTCTCTGTCTCTCTCTCTGTCTCTGTCTCTGTCTCTGTCTCTGTCTCTGTCTGTCTCTGTCTCTGTCTCTGTCTCTGTCTCTGTCTCTGTCTCTCTCTCTCTCTCTCTCTCTCTCTCTCTCTCTCTCTCTCTCTCTCCTTGTGGTGATCAGCGAATATTCTTTTACGATATAGCAAGAACAGAATCAGAGTGGGAGCCAGCATCCCGTAGAGGTCCTGGGGTTCGTTCAGGCACAACCAGGGCAGGTAGGTTGTTGACAGCGGATGTTGACAAAACAAGGTCATGAAGCACATTAGATGCGTGCCCAACTTATCGACACAGCCTGAAGAGTTGGGCTAGCCGCTTATGAAAACCCTGGTTCTCTGAACAGCCTCAGAAGCCTCGCACTCCATACGCACTTGTGTTCCCTAGACGCGCACACACTTATCCTGCGTACGCATTAATTTCTCTTCACGTGCGCTGCTATTCGCATTCTACAACCCCTAACACAGACTCCAACACCCCCAAGCACCTTTAAAGACATGCTGCTTATATACTGAGAGCGTCGGGTCTGACAGTCCGCAGTTAGTTTAGTTCAATTATGCACCCCATACCCATCTTATGGCCGGCAGTGGAAAGGGTTACAGAGGCACATAATGGGCTCAGGGACTGAACCCCACAATTCATTTAGCTAAGCAAGTTACAATCTTGATCTTACAGTCCGCAAATGAAGGCTTTGACGACATTTGTCTCCCCCCCCCCCTCCTGTTCATTTCTGTGTCGGGAGCGTCTTAGTAAATGGTGAATTTTGTATTCTAGTTAGTGTCTGTAGGAGTCACGTTTCTGTCAATAGTTCCTATCAGGACTCATTCTTTCGTTTTTGGGGAGCAGTTTGAGAGCCGTTCCTGAAAACTTTAATCATTCACATTCCTTTTAATCTCTGGATACTTTAAACTAATATTTCCAATTGTTGATAATGACCTGCCTTACTCTTACAGAGTTCCTCGTCAACTTGGTTCCAACTAGAGCAGTGTGTGTGACGGCACTGACACGTGCATTTTAAATACTCTTTCTTTATTGATCAGGACTTAAGAGCATTAGAGCAAATTTCTGTTTGTTCCCACAGTACAGTCTGCAGTGTGCAACCCGTTCTCGCAAATTTAATAAGTCAATATTGACTTATTAAATATGTGCATAGGTGACATACTAAACATAATAGTTTCCCTTGAAAAGCTTCATAGAAAACACCGACCTTACCTAACCTACTTAGTATGTTAAAATAAGCATCTTATAGTTTCGTAATTACAATTGTTACTTAACCTATTATAGGTATAGGTTAGGTAATAATTGTAATTACGAAGCAATAAGATGCTTAACATACTAAGTAGGTTAGGTAAGGTCGGTGTTTTCTATGAAGCTTTTCAAGGGAAACTATTATGTTTAGTATGTCACCTATGCACATATTTAATAAGTCAATATTGACTTATTAAATTATATTAACGGTTTGGTGCCCTGAAGCCGATCCTTATTATCGTCTAAATTCAGGAGCATCCGTGCATTAGCGGACTTCAGACTTATTCGACAGCATCTTATTACGGAAACCGCGTCCGGCAAGGCCGAGTACCCCCAATATATTATTTTGGCCATTAATTTATATGTATGGTGCCTTGTTATACAGCATACAAACCTAATAACTTCAGTGAGTAATTATTATGCCTCATCCACTAATTTCATGAGTAAACTTGCAAATACACACACTCTTGGGTAGAAATTGCAGGATAATATTTCAGCATGGAGCTAGCTATAAGGGAAGTGTACGTCATCCCGTGTTATCACGTGTCGCCAGAGATAACAGGTCTTGACAAGATTAAACTGGTCATAGAGCTGCTGGACGCATTCTCCGTTCAACTTTGGCAGCCAAGCTTCCAAATTTTTAAATTTAGTAATTAGCATATTAACTTTTGCTTTAATTTCCGATTATGAGAATATTCTCTTATGTAGACTAACACTTTAGAATTTAACCCCCCCCCCTCAAAAAAAAAAATCACTACTTTTACTTTAAGTTTTTAACAGTCCACTTCTCCAAGTTCATTTTGAATTTATCATCTAATTATTATCAGAGCTATAAGTCACTGGTTCTTAAGAACCCATAACATTTTTTATGGTTCTTATGCATCTATGAATGATGTGTAGGAGAAAAATTCCCCACAGTTGTAGCATTTATTACCAACAGAAGCAGCAAGTCTTAATATTCCTGACCTCACTGCTCAAGATCGTCGAGCGAACCTTCAAGATTTTTTATCATCTCCAGCTGGTGTATTTCTGGTCTTTTTTTCCAAGAGAAATTAATATCGTGGAGTGAGGATTTAAGGGAACCAAGTAGTCTTGTTACTTCTGTGGAGGAATAAGAGTATTGCCACCAAGAATCATAAGCTGTATTTGAGAATGGCAGCATCTCATCTCCTTAACCCCACAACCATGATTGGGTTTAATTTTCCGTAAGAACAGCAATAAAAAAAATTATGCATTATTAGCAACTTTATTAGGAAGGGTTCCATTATCACAATATACAAGCACAATTCAGTTCATTACTAATGTTCACCATAGACGCCATACCTCCGTGTAGCCTCTTCAATCGACGGCGTCAACTCTTTGAAAAACATGAAAAGCCGCCAACAGCAAGATTTAGGGATTTTCTGCCATATAGATCCTTAGTGAAGATTCTCTTTGTCCACAAGTCTTCTTTAACTTAGCTGCCGAGAATCTGAAAGTTAGAGGATAATTGGTTATTAGAAACTAAATTCCTACCTACGACTTTGTGATCCTATGCTTTGGCATAAACTGCAAGAATGCTTCATGATAAGTTAGGAAAGGTGAACTTTAATGCCACGTGGTGGGGGGGGGGGGGAGCTGGTGCCAGGGTACAACACTATACTCCGCTATATTCTTGCATCCAGCAGTTACAATTGCAGCAATGATTTATTTAAGTTTCAATAATTACAAATACACACCAAACCACAATATACCAAAACCATCTTTAAAACTAATAAAACGCCTTGTTTACATTTTGTTTTGGTTACGTCTTTACTTTTCTTTATATTAATACAGATTCTGTCTATAGTTCTTTAAGAGTCGTATATCAAGAAGTGGCCAGGGACGGGGGGGGGGGGAAGAGTTTGCTTGTCCATTTGCAGGGTCGAGCATCAGCTCCTAATCACCGCCTTTCGACCGTTATTAGTGTAATGAATAGTCACCAATTTTCTTATATCGACATTCAAAATTATAAAATTCAAAATGATAAAATTAGCTGAAGAGTCTACAACTTTAATACACTCCATTTAATTACGATGTCTTACGCTGAAGACCCTTACTAACATCTTAAAAGATTAATTTGTGTACAATTTCCATCCGTTTCCTCATTTTTGTCGTGCCTCAGAGTCTCTCTGTGAGGAACTGTGTAACTGTCAAGTCCCATGGAATCAATTCAACTACCCTGATTAATTGATGAACTTTAAGCCATCCAAAGGGTGGGACTGGCTTTAATACCTTTCAAAAGTTATGCTAATCTCCCCCCGCCTCTATATTGGTCTGTGTTCTCTTTTAACGTTTGAAAACTAGAATTTACTATACAAAAAAAAGCAAAATAAAATTGAAACTCACTACATCTGCCTTTATAGGCGATCTTCAAATTCAAGCCAGGGTTTCTGCAGGCAGCTATCCCTAGGAAGCAAGAGTTGCTGTAGTCCTTGCCGTCAGTCCCACACACAGGATCGTACTGTAGTGTACAGAAGCTTCCACACTGATTGGACGTCCCTGGAATAACTTTTAGCTTAAGAATGTTGCAATAATATACAAGATTTATCCGAGTCAACACAGCAAGACAAATTTGCAAAATATGTTATATTAGTAATTATGTATACAAATATATATATAAATATGAAATATATAGCGTCCGCATAGGACATTTATAGCTGCGTTTGTTTACACAAATTTACAGAATTATTTACCGACGTAAATTAACACGAAACACACACATTATGGATGTGTATGTGAAAACATTCGAAAGTATTTTAGAACCTTAAAAAAAATGCTCCATTTTTAAGATGGGAACAAGGTGAATACCCACTACATTCGCCTTGGTAGGCTGTTCTAAGATGCAGTTGTGGGTTGTTGCAGGCCGCGACGTCCAGTGTACACTGGTTGCTGTACGTCTTGCCGTCTGTCCCACACACAGGCTGGTAGATCTGAGGACAAACGCTGTTACACTGATTTTGCGGCCCTGGAAAAAATAAAATTCTGTACAGCAAACGTGATGTGATTTCCAGATCTTTAATAGTTTTATGGTAGAGTTGAGATTTACAATTAAATTCATGATTGTACATGTATTCTACTTTGAAGTATTATTTGAAGAAGTTCCTTCAGTTATCCTAATCCTTTTCATTTTGAAAATGGGTACAAACTCTTTAATGGCTCGCTCTGTAAGCCTCCCCACACTTGCTCAGGCACAAGCCTTGTGGAATATCCTTTAAGAAACATGCAACATTGGGGTATAAATTAGATAGGTTTAGATTTAGTAAAGACCTGGGTAAATACTAGTTCGGTAAAAGGGTTGTCGAATTTGTGGAACCAATTACCGGGTAACATAATAAACATGTGATCCCTTGATTGTTTCAAGCCAAGCTTAGATTATATATATTATATAACATACATTTGCATTAACTCGAGGAATTTTAACAGAACACTTCCCCATATGAGAGAATCGAACCATGGGCCAGCAGGTGCTAGGCCAGAGCATTAACCGCCCTCAGATCTTGACAAGCAAGGGAATTTTAGTGGGTTTTCCCACCATGTAATCCCTTCCAATATATACACACACGTACGTTTGAAGTTAAACAACTTCAGACACCCACCCACCAGAAGACTAACCCTCGCCAGCACAGATGCTTCACATGTGGCATAGCTGGTACTCACTAAACCCACTGCACCAAACCCAGACCCTTAAAAAGGATGGGAATTTCGGGGTATTTAAGCCCCAGATACCGCCATCCCCATCCCCGAAGACTAGAGTAGGTGAAAGGTCACTCACTTTCCCCCCCTCCCTCCCCCCAATCAAGCACCTAGTTATTCTGGTGGTCTTGGGGGGGGGGGGGTTGGAGGTATCAAGGGCTTAAATAACCCCGAAATCCCTACCCTCTTTATGACTGAGTTTGGTGCAGTGGGTTCAGTGCGTACCAGCTATGCCACTTGTTGTGAAACATCTGTGCTGGCGAGGGTTCGAGTCTCCTGGTGGGTGTGTGTAAAGTTGTATATATAGTGTAATAAATATGAAATGTATAGCATCTGCAGTGCACATTTATAGTTGTGTTAGTTTACACACGTACGTGCGTGCGCGCGTTTGTTAAAATGGCTTTTGAACGTATATAGTCAAACTTGCCGATAGAAAAGAAGGCAATTACAAATGCTCCATTTTTAAGACGGGAACAAGGTGAATACCCACTACATTCGCCTTGGTAGGCTGTTCTAAGATGCAGTTGTGGGTTGTTGCAGGCCGCGACGTCCAGTGTACACTGGTTGCTGTACGTCTTGCCGTCTGTCCCACACACAGGCTGGTAGATCTGAGGACAAACGCTGTTACACTGATTTTGCGGCCCTGGAAAAAATAAAATTCTGTTCAGCAAAAGTGATGTGATTTCCTAACATTTAATAGTTTTATGGTAGAGTTGAAATTTTCAATTAAATTCATGATTGCATGTTTGTACATGTATTCTACTTTGAAATATTATTTGAAGAAGTTCTTTCAATTATCCTAATCCTTCTCTTCAGTTCGTAACGGGTTTCAAATTCCTTAATGGTTCTCTTAAAGTCTCACCACATTTGCTCAGGCACAAGCCTTGTGGAATATCTTAAACATGAAACAATGGGTTTTAAATTGGTTATGTTTAGATTTAGAAAAGACCTGGGTAAATACTGGTTCGGTAAAAGGGGTTGTCGATTTTCAGGACCAATTACCGGGTAACATAAGCGTATGATCCATCAATTGTTTCAAGCGTAGGTTAGACATAATTAGTTTAGGTGTATATAAATAGGAGTTGCCATGTATTGGCCAATAGGTCTTCGGCAGTTTCCTCGATTCTTATGTTCTAAACTAGTTTTAGTTTGCCGTTTCTAGTAATGATTCCGTGGCGAAAATCATCTTTAATACTTTTCTTCTAGATACCAATTCCTTCTGGAATTATTTTTGGAAAGACCTGGTCAAGCTTAGTTGGTCACCATCTCTTCGTTTCATGTAACACATGTTGCATCAGAAAGTTCATGTCTCTTAGCTTAACCATTTCTCTTCAACCATTTCAGTCATTTGTTAGTCTATTTGGACCCGACTGAAGTTTTATTACTAGCAGCTGACCTGTCTAGCCTGTATCTGTCATCGAGGATGGTTATGTAATGCTCACTTTGTACGTCCATAGTCTTGACCGTCTTTAGATTCTCTTGGGGGTTGTAGACCACAGTCAAGACTACCTTCTCTTCCAGGGACATTATGCCAACAATGGTTCATGTAGCCGTTTGCCTCCACCCAAAGATGGTTTTAAAAAGTCCAGTTTCTTCAACGGTGCCATACGTCTTCCCAAATCTTCTAATATTACAGATATCTTAAAATAATTAACCGGTATTAATACCAAAGCAACAAGTCTGTCAATGCCATCGCATCAGGGTTGGGTTCAAAGTCCTTTCGTAGAGTTAGTCAAGTACCAGGCAATTAGCAGGTATTCCAGGACTATTTTTGTTCCGTCGTCTTGATGGGCAGTTTCCAGGCTAGAGCCTGGGTTCAGGTGACTGGGAAGGCAACGCGTAGGAATGGAAATGAGAAGAGTCAAAGCAGGAGAATGAATGCCAGTGCAGCAGTTGGGTGCATTAAGAGGTGATGGAGCAAGAAAATTCAGAGGCTTGGGAATAAGAGTGGCATGAAGCTAGCGCAGAAGGGAAATTTGGAGGAAGAGGCGTGTGGGATGTTAATTGTCCACGGGCGACAATTTAATACGCTTGCCGTCTGTATAGCTGTGGTGGAAGGATGTTAGAGATTTCCGATACGTTTGGGCTTTAGACGCTTCTAGAAGTACTCTGGTTCTTCCGCGTCTTTCAGTCCTGGAAGCTGCGTTTATCTGTGGGGAGGTGTGGCAGACCGTGCCTTGTGTTGGTTCTCGTGTCCCTTTGTCCTCTGTGGTTGCTGCTCTTTTTTCGCTCTAGGTGCAATTGTCGCCTACCTACTACCTCCCTTTCCTCTCCCCCTCCCAACCTGTCTACTCCTCAACCCCATCTCCCTGTTGCCCTCACCCTTGTTACCATTTAATTCCTCCCTATCCAAGTCATTTTTAAAGTAATTTTTTTCCAATTTACTTTTTGATCCGAGATCTTTATCCAGTTCATCAGGTCACTTGGGGCCTCACTTGTGTGAATACTGTACACTCCTCAGCTCTGAGAGTCTTCAGTTGTTTAGTGGTGGTGTGTACGAGGCCAGTCTGTGGCTTGCCACAAAGTGTAAGTCTGCTTCTTAAGGACATTGTCTTCTCGGGTGGTTGATGGCCTCTAACCGCCCACTTGGATGTGGTTTCTACTTCTGTGATAATCATTCAAGGACCAGCTATCGCCGTTTAGCCTCGTCATTCAGCATTTTTTTCCAATCACATGTTAGTGATCACTGTGGGGGGGGGGGGAGGAGGTGCTCCCATGTTGCGCAACAGGTATTCAGTTTAACAGAGATTTGGCTTTCAGCATTGCCGACAGTTCGAGGTATCTTTACTACTACTGTTAATCAAGCTCTGGAAATTCTCCCATATTAAATTTACATAAAAAAACCTGTCAGTGTTCATATTTCATGAGATACTTTGCAAGTATAATAAATTTCGACATCTGAAAAAGACTAATAAATACAACAGGATATGAAGCCTTAAGAACAGAACAGTTGCACTAAAGGCAGGGGGATGCTCACTACATTCGCCTTTGTGTGCTACTTTCAGATTCAGTTGAGGGTTATTGCAGGCCTCGACTTCTAGGTCACACAAGTTGCTGTAAGTCTTGCCATCTGTTCCACACACAGGGTCATATTGCAGAGTACAAGCCTTAGGACACGGATTTTTATGCCCTGGAAAAACAATAATGCTGTGCTAATGAGTAATTTTATAGTTTCTTGCAGCTGTTGTGTCTAGCATAAATGTATGGTATACAAATACACATTACACACACACACAGCTGCAGCTTTCCGGAGTTAATAGTTTTAATACATTAAGAATTAGTAGCGTGGAACAGAAGGCGATAAGGATTTTAGTGTAAAGGATTGTACAAAATCCTAAACACCACGACTGGTAGAAGAAAGACAAAAATTATGTTAGTGGAAATATTTAAAAAGACAAGGAAAAGGATGCAAATTTGGTATGCATTTTGTTTCCTGCCATTTGTACATACTGGTACACAGTGGATACCACGAGGTACTCTATGTAACCTTCACTACTACATAGTACACACTTATTCTCCTTTACATTCGTGGGGATGCATGCTAGCAAGTGTGTTGTGCAGCCACGACACTTAGAAAGTAAACTTCAATACACCCTCAAAAATTAAACTAATTAAGATGCACCCGAATTTTCAAAAGAGCAATGGCGAATACTTACTACATTCGCCTTCGTAGGCGATTCTCAGCTTGAGTTGAGGATTGTTGCAGGCTTCGACCTCAAGGGCGCACCGGTTGCTGTAGGTCTTGCCGTCCGTCCCACACACCGGCTTGTACTCCAAGGTACAAACAGTGGGACACCGAGGTTTTGACCCTGTGAAGAAAAACCATGAAGTTCATTGATACTGTTACATTAACGAGTAGCGTCTACCTCCAACACTTAAAGCTACTTTTCTAAATAGAGGCATTTTAGGCGTGTAAACTATGTATATATATTTCAACCTTGACACCTTGTCATGATCGGCAGGCTGTGTAGGGACAGGAAGATGCTATACGGGTTCATGAGCTACGACTGCTCACAAGACGCAGGAGGTAACCCAACAGCCCGTCATCCTAGGGTTTCCCCAACGTCAAGAAACACTTACTAAAGTGCCCTAACCTAGTCCAGGAGTCAAAACAGAAACCGGGACAGTATATCAATTGGTATTCACCCGGGGTGGGTTTTACGGGCTATTCATGCCCGTGCCACCTTTTGGGTGGCTTTATCTTCAATCAATAGGAGTGGCGGAGTGGGCTGTTTGCCCGTCGTCATTTAAAGGGAGGAGTATTCACTGTGTCCATGTGGTAGGCCTGTGTTTGTTGGGGTAGGCCTGGTGTGTATATAGAGATCAGTCTATATACATTGTGTGGGGGGGGGGCCAGACAATGCAGGTTACGTTAGTAGTGTTCTGTGCGACGTCAGAAGGAGAGTAACGGTGTGCGTGCGTTGGCATTTTAGTACAACAGTTTCATTACGTTGGAGAAACCTTAGGAGGACGGGCTGGACTGATGCCACAGCCTTGTGAAGGAGTACAATTATTTATCCGAACTTTTTACAGGCTAAAAATCAGTGCACAGTCAACACCTGTTTATGTTCGTTATCAGGTGAAGGTAAAATGTAGTAATAACTTTCTTTACCCATCGTTAGTAAGTAATTATCAAAGAAGGCACCAAGCCGGGAAGCTATGTAGCACCATCACACGAGCGGAATAATCAGAGGGCGCTAAATATCACTTTGTGGGAACCGACCTGTGAGATTTATATTTATTTAATTTATATGAATTTATATTTACGTTAATTTATATACTTCGATAGCAATTTGTATAATGATAAGTGGACTGTATTTCTGCAATAATCTCATAATCTCACAAATCGATCCTCTACACATTAGGGGGGGTTTATATTACACATATGCAGCCAATCAAATTACAGTAATAGCTACATACATTGATGAGGTTCCTTCTCTTATAGTACAGCAGGTTAGTCCACCAGGTATAACTAGAGTGTAGACACCAAATTATCCTCTTTGAGGTAGCTTCTATCACCCAGTAACTGGTGCACATAATCTTGCATCCTCGTCTTGACCTGTCAAAAGTGCGCTAGCTGTGAAGCCAGAATCCTATATATGACAAGTATATCAGAGAAAACAGTACATGGAACATTAAAGACCTGGCTTAATTACCTTTAGTTTGAGGCGATTTCGCGATCTAACCGGGTCACCCTATATCCTGACATTAATGGCCATAAATGAATGATAAACGGGTTTCGGATAGACACTTAACTTGATTGTAGACATCGTGTTGGAGATGGTACCTTTGGTTTCCATAACACTACGTCCAAGTAAATTAACAGGAGCCGAATTTGCTCCCGTGTGAGCCTCTGGTCTCAATATAAATGGCTGCATCTAACACTCCATTCTATTGACGTCACTGGCCGACATTGTCCAGAATGATAGGAGCCGAACTCGCTCCACACGTCTCGGAGGTGACACAACAATGGCAGCCCTCCTTCCCCACTCTCACGCCTGGCCTACTTTGTCCAGATTTCAGAAAGTGATAGAAGGGTCACATTTACTCTACTTTAATATTGATAATTAAGTTAATTTATATAAGATGTTTTTATGATGGTAAAGTCCAAAGACTAATGTATTTAAGAACAATTCCCAGCAGAATAGCTGGTGAATTATAATAGTATGTGGTGATGATATCCCGTTTTCTATAGACGGTAATTCCACTACAAGTTACGTTTTCTATGGGTAACTTGTTGGTAACACAGCTCTTATCTGTCTGTATGATATTATTAAATGGTGTCGGATTTTCCGACATAATTCCCCAGGGGGCTGCTCACGGGTCGAAGTCCTATTTAGAACAGACGAACACCGATACTCCTCCTTCGAATTATTAGATTAATTTGATGTTAGTAGTTAGTAATCACACATTTGTGCGTCTGTTCGTACAGGACGGATGTCCCGTACTAGAGTTGCAGGGGTTTAGAAGTCTAATGCGATTTCATTTCCCTGTCAACTCTTGAAAGGCTAATATTCAAGCCTTATTACATATTATTTAACCCAGAAGACTGGATGTGATCAAGTACTACAGTCAAGTATGATTCAGGGACTGCAGTGAGATCAGTGACATTAGATATAACTTGAAGTTTCTTCAGGTAACTGGTCACTGATATATAAACACTGAGGCCCATGGAATACATCTTGATTAAATAATAAATGTATCAAATCAGTCATCAGATTTATTGGGGTTTAATTTAGTTAATTGATTCAGAAGATTGAATAGCTCATCATTAAAGTAAAGTATGGTTCTGAGACTGCAGTGGGTTCAGTGACATTGGTCGCAGTGACTTGTAGCTGTTTTAGGCTACTGTTCACTGATTTGCCACTGAGGCCTCATGAACTCATCTTCAGCTTTAAATGATGATACTAACATCAACCTCTGTTACTATAGTCAGCTGTAATCTCCTTAGTATAATGCTACTGGAGAAATATAATCAGCTGACAAATTTAGATTTCTATTGGTATTGTTTATCTGCAGGCATAGGTCTCCTCAGGCTTGATACTGGGCCTGAGAGTAATTTACCTCCTGCAGAGTTTAACATGGTTATGCCCTGATATTTAGTAGGGCTACCAATGAATTGATGGTAGTAGTCTGTCCCCACAAGGACAGCCATTTGGCATTTGATTTGCTCAAATTTACCTGCAGCTGCTTGATAATAGCTTTCCAGGTCAGCATAATCAACTTGAGATTGTTGTGACAAATCTTCACATTTCTTGATCTGTCTTGTTAAGTGGCCTTTAAGACCTGCAAGGGTTCTTTTCATTCTCCCTGCATTATCCATACTGGCTCGTTGGTGAAGCCTTGTGGGGCTTGTACTTGGGCTGCTCATAATACTGAACAAGCACTAATGGTAGCCTAGGGTAAATTCTGAACTCACTAGGCAATAATCCTACCTCTACTAGAGGTTAGCACTTAAAATTAATACACATTATATATATACAATCATACACACTAATGATTTGAGTGATAAACCAGTGTCACTGGAAGTACCTTTAGGTTAGCTCTTCTATATCACCCTAGGATGGTAGAGACACTAATTAATCACTCAAAGGTGTAATGATCATAAGTAAATTATTATATATACAACTCAACTCGAGTTGATAAAAATTACACCCAAAATAGGGTCTGGACCATTCATTAATGGTGTTAGGTTGTTCAATATAGTACAACTGACTATTGTAATAATGGGACTAGGATGAACAATAATAGTTCAACTAGTCATATCCTACCCTGTTGTGGGTTGGCAATTAGTAAATATTATACTGAGATCACTAGTGCAATATATATTAAATAATTCTCTATTTTGGAGAAATAATATACACAATTATTGATAATAGCCTCTTAATTAGCCTCTATGAAACTTCTAATATTATCTAGAAGTATTAAATATTATTAGTGACCTCGCGAAATAAAGTCCACCAAATTCGTAGATAATCTCTCGCGAAATGTAACACCACGAAATCCGTGAACAATCTCGCGAAGACACAGTCACTAATTTGGCTGGATTCTATATTAGCGCTGTCATTTCACGAAATAACACGCCACCAAATATCTGTGGGTGTGCATGAAACCGCTGACGAAGGCTGAACTGGGCTGAGGGAGGCTCCTGAGCTCCCTCGAGGCTACGCCGCCGTCTTTGACTGGCTGGCCTTTGTTTAAATAACACTGCACTAGTATATTTAATGAATCCACTGGTTAACTGGTTCATCCGGTACTAAGATGACCAAATGTGGGTTCAAAGGACCAAATATCCGTCATCCGGTTCGAAGGACCAAATAATGTGGGAACCGACCTGTGAGATTTATATTTATTTAATTTATATTAATTTATATTTACGTTAATTTATATACTTCGATAGCAATTTGTATAATGATAAGTGGACTGTATTTCTGCAATAATCTCTTAATCTCACAAATCGATCCTCTACACATTAGGGGGGGTTTATATTACACATATGCAGCCAATCAAATTACAGTAATAGCTACATACATTGATGAGGTTCCTTCTCTTATAGTACAGCAGGTTAGTCCACCAGGTATAACTAGAGTGTAGACACCAAATTATCCTCTTTGAGGTAGCTTCTATCACCCAGTAACTGGTGCACATAATCTTGCATCCTCGTCTTGACCTGTCAATAGTGCGCTAGCTGTGAAGCCAGAATCCTATATATGACAAGTATATCAGAGAAAACAGTACATGGAACATTAAAGACCTGGCTTAATTACCTTTAGTTTGAGGCGATTTCGCGATCTAACCGGGTCACCCTATATCCTGACATTAATGGCCATAAATGAATGATAAACGGGTTTCGGATAGACACTTAACTTGATTGTAGACATCGTGTTGGAGATGGTACCTTTGGTTTCCATAACACTACGTCCAAGTAAATTAACAGGAGCCGAATTTGCTCCCGTGTGAGCCTCTGGTCTCAATATAAATGGCTGCATCTAACACTCCATTCTATTGACGTCACTGGCCGACATTGTCCAGAATGATAGGAGCCGAACTCGCTCCACACGTCTCGGAGGTGACACAACAATGGCTGCCTTCCTTCCCCACTCTGACGCCTGGCCTACTTTGTCCAGATTTCAGAAAGTGATAGAAGGGTCACATTTACTCTACTTTAATATTGATAATTAAGTTAATTTATATAAGATGTTTTATGATGGTAAAGTCCAAAGACTAATGTATTTAAGAATAATTCCCAGCAGAATAGCTGGTGAATTATAATAGTATGTGGTGATGATATCCCGTTTTCTTTAGACGGTAATTCCACTACAAGTTACGTTTTCTATGGGTAACTTGTTGGTAACACAGCTCTTATCTGTCTGTATGATATTATTATTAAATGGTGCGCCTCGTCATATCAAGAGTGACCACAAAGTCTTGCAACAGTAAGATTGGAAGCTTCCGGGTCCTCCAACATCTAAAACGGCGGTTTGTAAGCCAGATCGAATCCTATTATAATGTAACATTGTTGCATTAATCATTCTGGTTTCTGGAGAAAGTGTCACATGAGCATTCGAGGTCATCAAATTATATTAATTAATATACTGAATAACTATAAATATTCTGAAAAAAATTAAGTCATAACTTCCTTAATAGTCAAGTCATATTTTAAAACTTCCATCTGCACGTTATAAGCCATAACATCTACACATCTGAATACTTTCACTTGGTGGCATTTAATAACTGAAGGTTTTATTGCAAATGCACTTAACATCTTTATTAGGTTGCAATAGCAACCTAATAAAGTAATTCAGGGTTTATATTAATAAATTTAGTAGTAATAATAAAGGTTGCAAATAGTAATCCAGCTTAAGTTAGCTCTCCATACTCTAAAATCATATCTTTATAAAACTAACTATAAACAGGAAGTGACAGGACTTTAATTAACGTTTGTACAGACTGGGTCCTGTCAAAAATAATTCACAGCAGTTTCTCATTGTTCGTTAATACACTATCTAGAATTAAGCAACGCACGAGCTAAAATTATTTGCTTTCTCCACAACACGATTTGATAGTCTCATCCTGGGGCCCAGGTACTCTTGGGGAAAACCGGGCAACAGTGAAGGTATGGTATTCGAATCTACAACATTTCAGCTTCCTTACTCACACTGGCGAGCCAGTCCGGCCAAGGAGCTTCTAGTTGAATTTGAGTGAATGATAGAGAGCCCACCGAGGTTCGTGTTCGGTCTTTTATAGCCTACATAATTGCAGCCCGTCGTCAGTCAGCCCGTCCTCTGAACAAGGACCCGAAGTCCATTCCATGCACCCGCCAATCCCTCTATTTATGAGTGAAAAAACTTAACACACGACTAATAATGACGTCCGAACACTTTCGGAACAAGTGCTTCGTTGACAACTTTGTTTGAACTACAATGTTCTAAATGCTTCACCCACATACTACAAAAACAAAATCGCCAACAGAACCTAAAACACCTGACCAGTGCCTAAATATTCACAATGTTAATATAATATATACGAGAAATTCAGTTTTGAGCGAAATATTAAAATTCATGAATGCGTCACTGTGGTCGACCGCTGGATAGAATTGACTTTTCTCGAGGACGGATTGCGTCATCAACAAAGGTTAAAAATGCTTGCTAATCCAGCTGCCAAAATCACCTTTTTCACGCACGAAATCTGTACACTACTACTACTACTGATAACTTTCGTGCATTTCGCCGACGACCTCTGCTCGAATCAACTCGGCAAAAAGTTTCGTCCACGCACTTTTAATACAAATAATTGCCATCAGAACCCAAACGCTTGATTTTTGCCCAAGTACACTTAAGAACCTTAAAATATAATATACAAGCGGGAAGAAGCCTAGTTCTAATAATTCGTAAGAAATTGATGAATGCGTCTTGAGGGGAAGGGAGTGGGGGGGGGGGGGAAATAGTCCGCCGCTTTAATGAGCCTGGCCGTCAACCCTGGTTGGACGGGTTGTCAACCTCGTATCCAAGAACCTTGTCATTCGGCTTTAATAAATTACCTTACCTCTCATATGGTGCGGGGTTAAACCTTCCCACACACACGTTCTAGTCTGTGTAAACACTTACCGCCACTACAGGGGCCATCATGCAACTTCTTCAGGTTGGGGTTGTTGCAAATGGCAACATTGAGCAGGCAGTCGTTGGCATACGACTTGCCGTCGGAGCCACATACTTGTCGGAAGATGAATGGGCACACACTTGGGCACCTGGTCTGAGTGGCTGTAACGGGAGAACTGCCATCAGTGTCCAGTTATGGCAGGAAAGATAAAAGTTCCTAGCTAAACGCGTCTGAACATAGTCCAGATGGCATCAATATAAGTCACCCAAATTAACGACGGCAATATGTACCGAATTGCTGGAATGAACACTACTAAACACGCATATTTCAAACAAATAACTTAATCATACATGACATAATACAACAAGCACTTTACTTACAAGCCCCGACCACCAACAAGGTTGTGGCCCAGATCAGTAAACGCAGCATCTCCACAAGTCTTCACAAGTCCGCAGAGCACAACCTTGGGGAGGTAATGTGACCATTATAATATCCACTGTGGACACCTCGTCCTCGTGTAAAATGCTCGTTAATTAATCCAACCATTAAACCTGTCTATGAATTATAAAACAATTTATACGAGACTTGCTCCGATTCGGGCTCCTAAAAACTATTTGTAAATACACATCACTAACAACCTAACCTAGTCAAAAAAGTACACAATGTACATTATTAATTCTTAGAGAAAATTGATCAAATTTATTACTGCGTCTTTTGGGGAATCTTCAAGCAGCTTTGACAAGCATATTTTTTGGATTGTTCCGGCGACAAGTTTACTGAAGGCACCCTTAGTGTAGGGAGTACATAGTATGAGAGTATATGTATGGGGAGTACATATGGGAGTACATATGGGAGTACGCGGGTTACGAACCTGTTGTAACCACTACGAGCACTAAGAGATAACCAGGATTGTTTAGTTGATACGGAGTCAATACTTGTCAGAGCGGTAGTGAGCCCCCCCCCCATACCCCCCCCCCTGTGAGCAGTAGTGTACAAGGGAACAGAAGCCAAGTATTACGGAACAAGAAACGCCAAAACCATTGACGTCTGAGGGGCGTTATTAGGACTTAACTGCTAATTTTTTATCATCCCTATTACTGCCGACCCCGCTGTTACACATGCCACAGATTACCCATCAAGGTATTGACAAAAGGAGCCAATTCTTGTCAATTTAATGTGTATTTTTGCACATATTTGGCGACCAAAGTATGAACGACACATTTACTTAAAATACCCACACTTTCCCTCAGTGATCGCAGCCCCACACACGCGTATCTAACATCACGGCAAACCACCGCAGACCGCTTCACAGTTTGGACTCTATGCACTGTGACTGACATTGAGTCAGGGATTGGTGCATGAATGCCGCGTCACTCACCTCTCTCTCCCTCCGTGACTATGCTTCAACCTGACGGCCGTAGCGCGACTGGCGCCCCGTGACAAACTCAACCCTTTTATAGTAGTGTAAGGACTGAGTTGCCAAAGTGGATTAACCGAATAAATTAAAAAATATTCTCAGCGTTTCAGGGTTTGTGTCTTTTCAGGACACTCGTTCCTCTCGGTAGCAACGTTTGAGCAGTTTGGTGATAAGAATGTTCTTGTTTAACTTTCTTAAGTCAATTATTTGATTATTTTCAAACAGGGGCGACAACCGCTGTGAGAATTTTTCCCGTCATGATGCAAACACACCGGAATTCCCGGAGACGGTTGTATTAAATACATATACATATATACACACACTAAGGCGAAGGGTACCCACTAATACAACCAGTTGTATTTACTCTCTGGGCGGGGGGGGGGTAAGTGTGGATATTTGAGACTGAAGGTAGGGCCGGGCAGGTTAATTATCATGCAGGTATGTATACACAGGTATGTTCTGGCTTACACACCTGTAGAGGTGGGATGGCCAGTATGAGGCAGTTCTGAGAAGTGGTGCTCTTTCACCCCTCCCTCTCAAGCACTCCTCCCCCCCCCCCACACACACACAACAGTGACCTTACGGCCAAGCAGATAGTGTTCGGGATTCGCCGTCCATGGAGCCGTGTTCGATTTCAAGCCGATGCATGAGTAGCATGTTATTTAACCTGATGGCTCTGTTCACCTAGCAGTAAATAAGTACCTGGGAGTTATAGGCAGCCGTTGGTGGCTAGATCTAGGGAGCCGGTCGGCCGAGCGGACAGCACGCTGGACTTGTGATCCTGTGGTCCTGGGTTCGAACCCAGGCGCCGGCGAGAAACAATGGGCAGAGTTTCTTTCGCCCTATGCCGCTGTTACCTAGCAGAAAAATAGGTACCTGGGTGTTAGTCAGCTGTCACGGGCTGCTTCCTGGGGGTGGAGGCCTGGTCGAGGACCGGGCCGCGGGGACACTAAAAAGCCCCGAAATCATCTCAAGATATAACCTCAAGATAGATCCTAAGGATATGCGTGTGTGTGTGAGAGAGAAGAGAAAGAGAAATATATGTAGCAGATAGGATACAGAAAATTTGGTTGATGGTTTGTACATCAGAGAATAGGTGGTTATAAAGGCAAGTTTCAAGAACTAACAGTTTGATCATATAGGCACAAATAGGAAACACACACACACACACACACACACCACACACACACACACACACACACACACACACACAACACACACACACACACACTCCGTAGGACATGTTAGAAGGCAAGTTTGACAATAACTCAAAGTGGACGACCAGAGTTTTCCTAGATCCTACAGTATATATTTCCTGTAATATATATATATTTATATATTTAATATATGTAATTTAATTTAATATGTAATATATATATATTTATATATTATAAATATATATATTTATATAGTTATATTTATCATCTGGTTCATTGTTTAATCAATCTACTGAACCATTAAAATAGTAGCTTAGGTAAATATGCCATTGTTAGAAGTTTATCTCCATAGGGAATACCCCTTTTCCTCCCCTCTCTTTCCCCCTTTCTCCTTCTCTCTCTCTCTCTCTCTCTCTCTCTCTCTCTCTCTCTCTCTCTCTCACAGAAGATCTAATGTTACGAAGCATTGAATAACTGATAAAATCTCTATGGAAAACGCATCCACATTTCAGTATCATGAAAATCGTAAGGGGGTCTTATCATTTTTTTTAAAGAGTGGCACTGTGGCTGACCCCCGACTGGCCTTTGACATTCACATACCCCCCAATGTGTCATATTGGAAAGTTGGATTGAGACTAGCCTCAAGCATAAGGCAAAATATGGATATATATATATATATATATATATATATATATATATATATATATATATATATATATATATATGTCGTACCTAGTAGCCAGAACGCACTTCTCAGCCTACTATGCAAGGCCCGATTTGCCTAATAAGCCAAGTTTTGCCGAATTAATATATTTTCTCCAATTTTTTCGTATGAAATGATAAAGCTACCCATTTCATTACGTATGACGTCATTTTTTTGTTATTGGAGTTAAAATTAACGTAGATATATGACCGAACCTAACCAACCCTACCTAACCTAACCTATCTCTGTAGGTTAGGTTAGGTTAGGTAGCCGAAAAAGTTAGGTTAGGTTTGGTTAGGTAGGTTAGGTTGTCGAAAAAAAATTAATTCATGAAAACTTGTCTTATTCGGCAAATTGGGCCTTGCATAGTAGGCTGAGAAGTGCGTTCTGGCTACTAGGTACGACATATTATATATATATATATATATATATATATATATATATATATATATATATATATATATATATATATATATATATATATATATATATATATAATATTGTGCGTGAGTGTACCGCGTGAGCATATGAGCAAAGCTTGAATGGTCCTTAAGCACGGATATCACTGTAACTCCATGACCCCCTCAGATAATTCTAACAAAGACCACCAGGGGGGGGAGGAGGAGGGGGTCTTCCCCACCAGCAGTTCTTGTACCATGACCACTGCACCTATCTTCTCCCCCCCCCCCCCCTGCCACTCTCTTACTCCATCCTGCTGACTCTAATTGTTTTCCTCCCTCTCACCCTTTCTCACTCTCTCCCTCACTCTCACCCTCCCTACCTTTGGCCTTGCCAAACCTCTGCCAACTTTCCCGCCTGCTGTCATAACTCACACGATATTCTACATTTATATAACTTCTCCTTCACCTGTACCTCTCCGCCATCTTTAATTAGCTTAACAAGCTAAGGATGATTATCGGACGCCACTTGTCTCACACCTGTTGAGGTGGGGCTAACCGCCTCCTTGGGGGGTTACCTTGAGGTGTGTTCGGGGCTTAGCGTCCCCGCGGCCCGGTCGTCGACCAGGCCTCCTGGTTGCTGGACTGGTCAACCAGGCTGATGGACGCGACTGCTCGCAGCCTGACGTATGGGTCTAACCTCAAGGCAATTTTTAAAAATCAGTGTATCCCCCCCCCCCTTTCATACAACATGCACTCCTGGGCCACTCCACATGTGTTCCTGTTCTCTTAGTATGTACTCCCATCCCCCCCCCCCCACACACAGACATTCCAACCCTCCCTTCCCTCCTTCCCCGCCAAAAAACCATGTTCAACCTCCAGCTACACATAAGAGGCATAACTGGCAATCCCCTCACAGTGTTCAAGAGAGAACTGGATAAGCACCTCTAATGGATACCTGATCAACCAGGCTGTGACTCATACGTCAGGCTGCGAGCAGCCGCGTCCAACAGTCTGTTTGATCAGTCCAGCAACCAGAAGGCCTGGTCGACGACCGGGCCGCGGGGACGCTAAGCCCCGGAAGCACCTCAAGGTAACCTCAAGGTAAGGTAACCTTTCGACTCACCTTTTGACGCCATTTAAACACACCTGCAAGTGTCGTGGTAAGGGCTTGCTAGTAGGCTCGTTGGCTCACAGGTGTTGGCGTCTGTCCGCCTACCCTTGCAGCAGGGTCTAGGCTACTAGACCCTATGCTACTAGGTCTACTCAGAGCCAAGGGGGTGATGTTTATAAATCAGCTGAATTTAAAATTACCTTAGTAGTTGTCTAGAAGCTGATCTCCAGGTATGAGCCATCATTAACTAATCATACATGCATCAACCAGACAATTATTATAAACTTAAAGCTTGACTGTCAAACATGATGATGCGCTGCCCCCAGCGCATCCCGTCCACCAAACAAAGATCCAAAGTCCATTCCATGCACCCGCCAAACCCCCTGTTTATGAATGAAAAACGGTTAACACACGACTCACAACTGATGACGTTCGAACACTTCCGGAACAAATGCTTCGCTGATGAATTTTGTTCGAACCACAACGCTGCAAATGCTTCACCGACGTACTACAAATACAAATAATCGCCAACAGAACCTAAACACCTAACCTAACCTATGCCTATATGTGCTCAATATGGTAATATATTATAATGTTAATTTATATTTAAGAAAATTCCTGTTTTGAATGGAATGTATATTAAAATTCATGAATGCGTCTGTGGGGTCGACCGCTGGACGTAATGGACTTGAGTCGAGGACGGGTTGCTTGATGATGACCGCTAGAGGATGGACTCCACTAAAGTCCTCTGTACACATCCCACATCAATAAAACCCGCGTATTAAAAATACAAATGATTGCCAACAGATTCCACGAACCTAACATAACCTAATTCTTATATATAATAATGTTAATTCAAATAAAAACAATATTTAATACACAGTACGTTAACATTTATGAATGTGGCTTGGATAAGCTTAGCCTGAGTAAGAGCACACACATTGGTCATGACCCCTGGTCTTGACCCCTGGTCGTGACCTCTGGTCTTGACCCCTGGTCTTGACCTCTGGTCTTGACCGCTGGTCGTGACCCCTGGGGGAACAGAGGGCAGGACAAGACGACGACAAGAAAGATTTAAAACACTTCTCAGCTGTTCATGTATCAAAGGAAGCGTCAGTTTGATTATAGTTTTGTTTTGTTATTGAGAGCGACAGGCGCTGGAATCTGTCAGCCAATTAGAGTTCAGAGCGGCCCGTCCGGCGTGTCTATATAAGGAACGACCCGGGACGGCCAGCCAGAGACACCTGAAGATGTTACGCCACCAGAGACCCACACACACTCTCCAAACATCTACCACCTCCGGGCTATACTCAACCCCGTGACACCTCTTGTGGGTGACTTAATCTTCAACAACAACATCATGGCCAGTCTACCAAGAGTATTCACAGTGACATGTACCTTATTTTTAGATGTACATACACTGAGAGTATATTTATATATATATATATATATATATATATATATATATATATATATATATATATATATATATATATATATATATATTAGTCGTGGATTGCATTCAGGGGCTACAGTATACATGCTGGTTGGACAGTAAGCTGTTGTGGTGACTTTAAATAATAACTCTCCAGCTGTAGATAGATTTAACAGGCAACACCAAATCCAGACTGACAGACTGGATTTAGGACTTTACCCCACAGCT